ATACTTTCAAAATACAAAGAAATAAAAGTAGGTTGAGGAAAGACATTCTGGAGTCACCGAGCGTATTGTCACAATGATGCACCCTGAAAGATTAAGTAACTTCGTCTGTCTTAGTTTTCCGCAATCTGGTCTCTCCAGTTGCCATAGAAACAGTTCGTCCCACCCATGGGCGTGACATAACTGCCCATGGTTTAACGCAACCAGGGTTCAGCGGTTTGAGCAAAGATAGATTGACTGGCTAACTGATTTCATGGCGATCTAAAAAAAAATTCCAAGTAGTTAAGCTGTGTTAGATCTAGATTTCAGTTTGGATCATCGCTCGGAGATATTTGATTTCAGGTCTCTGAAATTTATCTTTATTAGTTGAAGGGCTTAGCACATGGTCTTTGCAAACACGATGTTTGATTGTTAATGTATTGTTATCTGGGAAGCACGTTAGTTTTCTGTTCCGGAAAATAAACAGATGTGACGGTTATATTCATTTATTTGAGTCAAGATAGAACTTGTAGTTTGTGCACATGGTCTACTAAGCGTTGCCTATATAATCATATGTTGTTGTCGTGTAACTCATTATACACATATTCACTGCCTGGGCAATGAACAACATTCATGGTCCCTGCACAGAAGAACCCTTGTCTTCTCCTTACTTTTCCTGTTTTTGCAGTTCAACGGGGAATTACTTATTGCCCTAACCACATTTCTTTCCTTACCTCCATCCTACTTGTTTCTCTTGTCACTCTTCCTTCTAGCTCACACTTCTTTTCCCAGTGTGTTCCTAAATAGGCTCATTTTTTAACCGCTGTCTCGAATCTTTTCTCTAAATGTACGTGGCTCTGTGTTTCATTATTACACTTCTTTGAGCGAAAGGGTTCCTATCTCATCATCATGACGTAGGTCCTTTGCAGATCGTCACTCTCAATCCCTCGTGCACTTTCCTACCCAAGGTGTCATTACTATTCTCTGCCCATCTTCGGTCTGGTGGTCCTCTGTCCTTTTTCCTAGAACTAATAAATTCACGCTAGCAGCTGAATACGTTTATACCCTTTATCTAAACTTTGATTGAGATACTCCACCCCTCCCCCCCCCCGAACTCTTCTCTAAGATAATTGATTATGCTGGGCCAGAAATGTGTGGTTACTCCCCACCCTCTTTTTTCCACAGAGGTAGTAGGCCGTGCTAAGTTAGACGTGTGTGGGCAGACCCTCCTTCTCCCCGTCCCGTCCCCGCGGTAGCTGGTTATGGTAGGCCAGATGTGTGTGAGGTAATTGATTTGCTAGTGTGTTGGACTCCCACCTTTCCTTCCACCCTCGAGGTAGTTAGACATGCTGGACTAGGAATGTGTGGGACCTCTCTCTTCCCTTTCCTTCTACCCTCGAGGTAGTTAGACATGCTGGACTAGGAATGTGTGGGACCTCTCTCTTCCCTTTCCTTCCACCCTCGAGGTAGTTAGACATGCTGGACTAGGAATGTGTGGGACCTCTCTCTTCCCTTTCCTTCTACCCTCGAGGTAGTTAGACATGCTGGACTAGGAATGTGTGGGACCTCTCTCTTCCCTTTCCTTCTACCCTCGAGGTATCTGCACAAGCTGGGCTAGGATTCTGTGGGACCTCTCTACCCCCACCTAGAGATGGTTGGTCTTGCTATGACAGGTGTATAAACCTACCTGAATACTGGTGTAGGTCTGGTCGACATTTTGTGTGGGCCCCACCTGCAGATAGTTGGTCATGCTGGCGATGTACATCACCACAAAGATCAGCACGTAGACCCACCAGAAAGTCACCACAATTCGAGCACCTATGGACCTGGGCGAGCGTGTGTAACCTGAAACAATACAGCAACAGTGTAACTAGCTATACATTTCATCATCCATTTATCTGGGCGAGCGTGTGAAACCTGAAACAATACAGCAACAGTGGAACTAGCTGAGCATTTGATCACCCATGGACCTGGGCGAGTGTGCGTAACCTGAAACAATACAGCAACAGTCAAACAAGCTGAACATTTGATCACCCATGGACCTGGGCGAGTGTGCGTAACCTGAAACAATACAGAAACAGTCAAGCTAGCTGAACATTTCATCATCATCTTCTTCTTCTTCTCGTCGACTGACACCATTTGGCACCTTTCCGTCTTTACAGTCGGTAGTGTTATACTGCGCTAGGAGGAAGCATGGACCTCACAGCCCACGGCGATGGCGAGTGTGATTAGCAAGACCCGTCCGAGTAAAAGTCTTTCACTTATTTAGCAGCTATTCCTTGAATACACAAATAAGGCAAGAATCCAGGCAAGAGTATGTGTCTAATTTTATACGAAAACGCCGCTGGAACTATGTCGGCCACGCCGTTAGAATGGATAAATCAAGACTTCCTTACCAAGCCCTCATTTGGACACCACAGGGGAAAAGATCTCGTGGAAGACCAAGGGAAACCCTACGTAGAACTATCATCAGGGAAGGCTCGCTCATGGACCACTCAAACATCCAAGACCTACAACAGATTGCAACAAACCGCCATGCATGGAGAGTCATGACCTCTGCCCAATGTGCCGCACTCGACACAAGAGGAAAGACTAACTAACTACCTAATTCCTTGAAAGTAAGAGTGCATCTGCCTGAGAGCAATGATGGTGGTTGCGTTAGGACATGTTACTTGTGCCTGGCTCATGCTTTTGTGTTCTTTTATAATATTCATATGATCATATGATCATTACATGCTTTATTAGTAAGATACAACTGCTGTGCGAAAGATGGTTGACTGAAAGGGCCGAATGTAAGACGGGCCTGCGTGCCCAATTTGTAACCCTTTGAAAATAAAGTTCGTTCGTTCGCTCCCCCTTTTTAGAGAGTTCGGGGTGTGGACTTACTTTACTCCAGTAGTAGTTATCATTAGCATGTGCCCTGTCGGTGAGAGTAAGGGACCATGGTTCGTCGACAGAGATAATCCTCTGTGTTGTGTGTGGAGGAGTGACATTTATAAGTTAAAAACCCTGATACTTGGCAAGCGTGCGACGCTTCATCCAGCTCACTCTGGACAACGGCCACCAAACTGCCACTGGCACAATCGAAATGGGAACTCTTCGCTGGCTGCTGAAGATGAGGACAGAGCGCTTATGGAAAAGTCCCGAGTACCACGATGTCAGTTGTTGGCTCAACACTTCATTCTCTAGTTATTGATGAACATTTCTGTCATCAAAACTTTTTATGTTGCTAAGTGGTGAAGCCACGTGTCCACAGTCGCTGGAGTCGCGGAATATGGTTAGTCGTTGTGCGGAGAGATACCGATTGCTACCGAGCTCTAGGAGAAAAAGCGGGCGAAATTTATTCTTCTGCTTTTGCCATTGCATGTCTTAAAAGTCGACTAATGAGAGCAGTTTCCTTTGAAGTTGGACTGCATCTGCCTGAGAGGCAAGGAACAAAAATCTGCACAAGCCAGATTTGTAAAACTGATGTGCACGCAAAACTCATGTTCTATAGTACAACTAAGGTTCAGAAGTGGACGCACAACCAAAACTTTCCGCCAGAGTTTACATACGGTGAACACGAAGAAGAAGAAGAAGAAGAAGAAGAAGAAGAAGAAGAAGAAGAAGAAGAAGAAGAAGAAGAAGAAGAAGAAGAAGAAGAAGAAGAAGAAGAGAAGAAGAAGAAGAAGAAGAAGAAGAAGAAGAAGAAGAAGAAGAAGAAGAAGAAGGAGAAGAAGAAGAAGAAGAAGAAGAAGAAGAAGAAGAACAAGAAGAAGAAGAAGAAGAAGAAGAAGAAGAAGAAGAAGAAGAAGAAGAAGAAGAAGAAGAAGAAGAAGAAGAAGAAGAAGAAGAAGAAGAAGAAGAAGAAGAAGAAGAAGAAGAAGAGGAAGACGAAGAAGAAGAAGAAGAATAACAACAAGGAGAAGTAGCCTATTACGACATGCTCGGTAGAGGGTATGATCCATCCCCTACTATCCCCAAGGGCGAGGGTACCCAGAGGGAAAAGGTTAGGTCTAACCTCTTGATTGTAAACTTTACTCTTTAAACGTTTGTGGTTGTTGTGACAGTGGTGGTGACGGTGGCGATGATGATAGTGATGATAATGATGACGATGGTCTAGGTGCTGATTCTACTGTTGGCAGTGGAAACTCTGAAAGAGGGTCACTCACCCTGCCACAAGATGTTGCTCATGGTGAACCAGAACGTGTTGAGACAGGAGAAGGACTCGGCTTCCCGCAAACTGGCTTGTCTGTCCTTGGCAAGTCGCCTCCAGTCGTAGGGGTTGGTGTAACAGATGACGTAGAGTACCACGCTGGTAATCAGCCAGGCCAAACCTGACAACATCCAGATGCTGCAGAAGAAGATGTGTTCAATATAAGTTTGACGTTTGTATTTATTCATTAACTCGTTAATTCATTCACTAAGAGCTAGACGCTCCTAATAGTTTTGTGTTCTCGCTGCCGGATTTAGGCAAAAGCTGACTAAGCTGTAGGACCACATTACCCACCTGGTGCCATATGGTCTGTAAAAATATGGGTGCTCTTTCCATTTGCCCGATGCGCCTAAAAGGCGTGAAAATGGATCTTTAATTTACTTAGCTTTGTCACCTGCACAGTCGTTGCGACAGCACTAGCGTTGTGGTCGTAGATCCTCAGGCTCAAAGACTCCCCCCCCCCCCCCCCCACCTCCGCCTACACAGCGAAAGTAGTATATAAGGGCAGCAACTGGCAGCTTTTTTTTTTGCGTTTTGGCATAACTTTAACCATTCTTTAAATCCCTATCCCTTAATGTACAGGTAAAATGAATATGTCTTGACAGAAACTGGCTGACGAAGAGAACTGATTGCTCACATCGGAAAGAGATTATCTACATTCTTTGGTCATGTCATGAGAAGGAGAAAGCTGGAGTACATCGTAACAGTAGGACAGTTGGAGGGGAGGAGAGGCAGAAAAAAAACCGAGAGAGAGAAGATGCTGGATAGTTTGACTTCATGGCATGGGGGAATCATCTGTGTCAGAGTCGAGTGAAAGTACACGAGATAGAAGGTTGTTGATAGACATGACTACCAGCGCCACACGGCATAAACTTTAAGAAAAAGAAAAAAAAAGATATGTACAGTTGTGTAATGTAATAGTTCCCCCCCCCCCCCCCCTCCTTTTTTTTTCCAGGATGAGAAAATAACAAGTACAAATCCGGGAAACTCCGTTCAAACGTTATAGCTACCTCGCGATCTTATAAATTCCAAACTATAATTATCTGTCCCTTACTTTCTCTTTTTCTGTCTTTCTCTTTCCCTCTTTTTCTCTCCATGCCATTCTCTCTTCACACACGCAGGCGCGAGGGGGACACACATACACACACGCAACCCAATTATAAGAAAAATGTTTCCCAACTGCATGAGAAAATACCTGCACCAGGTGTTTTAATCTGGGTTAGCAGGTTTAGCTGCGCGTGTTGGCCGATTGGGTTCTCCAGGTTGGCACTACTGTATGTGCGCGTTCGCGCGCGCATGTGTGCGTGTGTTTGTGTCTGCTGTATGTATTGTGAGTCTGCTGATGTGTATTTGCGTGTGAGGTGTATGGGTTTTTAATGTAATTATGTGTGTGGGGATGCATGTATATATGGTGTGTATGTATTGTAAGCGTAGTGATATGTGTGTGTGTGTATTTATGGTGCGTATGTGCTCTGTGTCAAAGTGATACGGTATTGTGGCTATGTGTTGTGTGTGGTGCAGTGTGTACGTGTTGTGTGTGGTGGTGATTTTTTATGATGGGTATGAGTTGTGTACGTGATGATGTGTATGTATATGCTATTTAGTGCTTCAAGAATGAGTTTCAGCGACAAAAACCGGGAAATCCCGTTCAGCTGAATAACCATGTTTTTAGCACAATTGTATTGAAGCACCATAGAATGGTCATTAAGTAACCTGGAGTCGTATGTGGTAAGAGATGAGACACTTTCATATTTACAGATCGACTCCACAAAGCTCCTAATTAAAAAATATCCCCCCCCCCCTCGCTCTCGCTCACTCCCTCTCTCTCTCGCTCGCTCTCTCTCGCTCTCTCTCACTCTCTCTCTCTCTCTCTCTCTCTCTCTCTCTCTCTCTCTCTCTTCGTTTATTTCTCTATCTGTTGACAAAGACCTGTCTTACTTTCTCTCTCTTTGTTTTGGTGGGGAGAGGGGCAGGATAGTGAGATGGGAATCTGGCCACGCTAAACCAGCTCCTTTCGAGAAGAGGATTTTTTTGGTTTGTGACTTTTTTGTGACCAATTTGATCTGACTTTCTCAGCGCTGACAAAGATATCAAGTATAAGCGTCGTACCTTTGAGACAGAGGAGAGAAGAGCCTCTGAAGTCGCTCCTCTAGGGTCATCACAGGTGCTTGGGGGCGCTTCATGATGATCACGGGGCCAAAGTTCATGAAAGGGGTCGAGAAATCGACAACTTTAGAACGTGCGGACGTTTCGGTCAGCGGACCTGCTGCTAAGTCGACCCTCTGAAACGTTTATGACAAATAAAAAATAGTTGTTATTATTGGTATGGTTAGAATTACTATTTTTACATAAACTAAGTGAAAGCTTTTCCGTCTCTTTATCTGTCTGACTATTCGTTAGTTCGTCAATCAGTGAGTCTGTCTACCTGTCTGTCTGCATACAAATCTGCATGAATGCCTGCGTGTTAGTCTGTCTGTCCACATACGGTTCCATTTTTTCACTCTTTCTCTCTCTCTCTCTCTCTCTCTCTCTCTCTCTCTCTCTCTCTCTCTCTCTCTCTCTCTCTCTGTATATATATATATATATATATATATAGCAAACTCAAGGCTATCTTAGCAGGCGTTGACTGAAAGGCTGTCCTCCAACTGGACATAGAGAACAGCAGTAAAAAATCGATGCCGTACAAGAAATCATTTGTATGCCCAGGAGCCCCATAAGACACTGGCTTTTACCATCAACTCTTCAGAGGACCCTTGAGCGTACCGCAGTATCTAGCCGCTTTCTTGCCCTGTCAAAGGTCTTGGGCTCAATTCTACATCGAAATATATATTTTATAAGCTTTTATTAAGTTCGTTTTTGTTTGTTTGTTTGTATCGCTTGCTCAAAGCTAAATCGAACACAGACTATGCACATGGATATAACCTGGGAAGTAATGGCGGCTGGAGTGATTTAGACTACATTACCCATCACTGTCAAAAGAAAGTAAGTTTGACACCACATGTCCAAGGTGATACTGGCGTTAAAGGGCTTTTTAGTTTCATCCTTTAACCTGATCTTCTCCGTGAATCAACTACACAAAAATCAAATAAACAAAATAAATTATGTGCCGCCTCCTAAATGAAGGTTGGCTACAGTGCCCACTACTGTCTTTAGCAACATTACGTGCTGAGACCCTAGTCTCTTCCGCGGTACGATTCGATTACAACTGTCAGAAAACTACGAAAACGGTAAACCGTCTACCACGGATATAGAACCCGAGTGTTGCAGAATTTATACACTGCTAAACTAATTCCCTTATCCCTTAGCCACAGATCCACAAATAAATGAAGGCCCTTTCTTCCACCCTTTCAGGTGTACTGCGTATAAAGCGCTAGATTTATATTTTACAGACCAATCGACACTCGGTGGGTGATGTGGTCAACATTAGGCCGGCCTCCTTTACTTCCCAGGAAATTTACTTGGTTCACATTTAAGGTTGAGTCGATTTGGGAACAAAGCCATTTTTGAAGAAAAAAAAAGTCCTGCTCAGTTTGCATCTGAACCCACGACTTTAGGATCCGCAGGCGATCGTCTAGCTAGGGGATATGCAGTTAGTGGTTAATAATCAGGACCAGTTGCCACATTGTATTACTAATCTATCTATGCTAGGGTCGGGCTCTGTGGCTAAGTCGATGCGAACGCTTCGGGTGCGTTGGTTTCGACAGTGGTATCAGGGGGCCGACCGTCCAGTAAGAAATGGCAAACTACTGGACGTAAATTTGCTTAGAGAAACCACACAACAGCAGGGGCTTGCTGGGGTTGGTTCTGCAACGTCCTGTAAAGGATACGCAACTAACCTAACCTACACTAGGGCTCTGGCCTTTGGTCCATGACCACCCCCATTGTCAAAATTGTTGCTTCTGAATAAACGTAGCTGAATAGCCATGGCTCTAGCCGCTACACCACAGCGGCTGGCACCCATAAATAAAGTCAACATTAAAACCACAAATGCGAAGTTCTGGAACTTACCCCCTCGACTACGTCACCTATGAGACCATCCCAAGATCCATTTCTCAGAAGGTGGCCAAATTTTTTGTCTGCCCTGATAGAGAAGGTGTAGGATATCCCCGTCAGCTTGGCCAGCTCATCCAGCAAGTCTTGGATGTATCCTTCATAAGTGATCTGGGTTGTTCCATTGCTGACATACTCATTGGATGAGAGGAACGGGGGAATCTGAGGAGGTATCAAAGTTAGTAGTTTCAGAAACGGTTAATTATTGTCAACTGATGTCAGGACTGAATTCAGATAAGGTGGAAGGAGGGATAGAGGAAGACAACGAGAGAATATTCTTGACAGTCTTGTTGCATGGCATGGAGGAGTGTCAGCACACGAACTGATACATGCTGCAGGTGATCGCAGATTGTGGAGAGGCATGATCGCCCACGCCAGTCGGCAAGGCACCTGATGATAATGATGAAGGTCCTTAGCTATGAAGAAGTCTGAGGTCTCTTCTAGGGCTGTACCGAATATTCGCTTCGTATTCGCTTCGGGGCCAAATAGTGGACCTAATAACTATTCAGTATTCGGCCGATGAGTTGCGGTCGGGCCGAATACGAATAGTGGTTACCTTACATCCGTTTCTAGACTGGTGGAAAATGAACATATCGAAATTTCCCACCTTGGTTCATACTGTCAAGCGTTATCTTTGTGCACCACCTACGAGCATACCAAGTGAACGTCTGTTTAGTACAGCTGGAAATGCCTTCAGTGAGACAAGAACCTGCCTTTATGCTGACAACAAGGAATGATTTTTTTTTTTGAAAGTTAATGCCGCTTTCATTGATTAACTAAGCTGTCAGTGACAATCTACAAGTTTTAGTTACTTGTTATAAAACTAAGAATACTTTCATTCCTATGTATTAGTTACCACAGAATGACTGACTGAAGGAAGCAAAAGCATGAAATGTTTTTAAATGTTTACTTTTTTTTTTAGATCTGTTTAAACACTATTCAAGAGTGGAAGAATGGGCCTCAGTTTGAATAATGGGAAGACAGAAGTAATGGTGGTATCAAAGAAAGTAATTATTCCTAAATGTGTAATAAAAGTCAATGGTTATATTTTGGACAAGTACAGCAATTTAAGTATCTGAGCACATGGATAACATCAGATGGAAGATGCATTACTGAAATAAGAAACAGAATAGGACAGGCAAAAACTGCATTTTATAAAATGAAGAACATCTTATGCAATACATCTTTGTCATTGAATGTTAGAAAAAGAATTATTGCTTGCTACATACAACCAGTTTTAACATATGGCTGTGAGTCCTGGACAATCAGTAGGCAGGCCTCAAAGATGTGGTTTTACAGAAGAATGCTTAGAATACATTGGACAGCAAATATGTGGAAGGAGGGATAAAGGAAGACAACAAGAGAAGATTCTTGTCAGTCGTGTTGCATGGCATGGAGGTGTGTCGGCACACGAACTAATACATGCTGCAGGAGATCGCAGATTATGGAGAGGCATGATCACCTATGACTTTCGGAAAAGCACCTGATGATGATTCCCTATTCGTATTCGTATTCGGCCGAATAGTTGGTCCAGCTATTCGTATTTGGCCGAATAGTAAAAATCACTATTCGGTACAGCCCTAGTCTCTACCGTTCTAAATTGCGCAAGACAAACGTAACCAACTGGAATAAATACAAGCCTGAGATAATATACCCAGAACACCATTTATAAAACTATAACATGTTTGTCACTACCGTCTGTATGAACTACTTTTTAGGACGGTGTAGACCATGGTTTGTGAACCTGAAGATTTAGAGACAAACGCATTGTTAGTGCTGTCGCCACGAACTGTACCGTATAGGATGTTTGCCGCGATAGATAAACAGCACCATGACCGGGAGTCGAACCCCGATCTCCCGCGGGAGAGACTCCATCACCTTAACACTTGGTGAACAGAATCCAGACCGCCCATCCGCTACATAGAACTTCATTAAAGTTTTATTGATCAACGTCCAGTTAACCAGCCTTCCGATACGTCCCCATTACAACTGCACGTTGGTCAACACACACACAGTTCTCACTGCACCTTGTGTTGCACTTAAAAAACATCCCGTCAATCAGCGTGCCACATATCCGCCACTTCACTGACCCTACACACATGGCCGACGCAAGTCATTTCTAGAAAATACGAAGTACAAGGATGATCCATCGCAGGCATCCAGACAGTTCCTTCGAGCTCCACAAAATAAAACGTGGGCTATCCTCCCAATAACTTGCACAAAAGATGGCGGCCGCAAAAACACCCTAATAGAGCCTCAGTCACGTGTCAATTGCGCACTTCCGGCGACTTAATTTGCGGTTTATCGGCGACTACCGCCACCGCCGAGAGTATCCCCCGCGGCGTGGATTGGGACTAAACTAGATGGCTGGGACACACGAACAGCAGCTTCCGCATCTCCTGCAGCTTTGCTCGTGAGTCCTAGTCATCTAGTTTAGCCCTAATCCACGCCGCGTGAGCTGCGTTAGGGATACTCTCGGCGGTGGTGGCAGTCACCGAAATTAGGTCGCCGGAAGTGCGCAATTGACACGTGACTGAGGCCCTGTTTTTGGCATTGGCAGCCATCTTTTGTATCTGTTATTCGGAGGATAGGCAAAAACTTGTTAAAACTGTCACACAACTATTCGCGCACACGTTCACACACTTAGAATGACTGAAAGCGACTGGCTCACTCAAACCACCACGGGACTTTTCCCCATCTGCGGTCAATACCACGTGGATCTGACTTTCTCGCCAAAACCCGGGGTTCACAAACCACCCGTACTGTCGGCCCACACGGATCCCACACTATCTGAGATGTCCGCAAGCCCGTCATGAACTTGAAACGACTGAAGTTTCCCCAGTGGCTCATGTTCCACTATCTAACAGTTGCCACAGATGTTTACATTCACAACCCGTCAACCCCCGTGTGGGTTCAGGGGCCCCATTGTGGCGAAAACAAGAATAGACCCACTGCCTCCCCAAAAGCATGTCGTAAGAGTCAACTAATTGGGGAGCTTCCTTTGAAGTCGGAGTGCATCTGCCGGAGTGGCAAGGAACCAACAGTCTGTATTCAAGAGAATGAGATCTGTAAAACTGATGCACACGCAACACTCAGGTTCTCTAGCAAGACTGCAGTTCAGTAGTGGACGAGCAACCAGAACCTGCCGCCAGAGTTTACAGCTGGTGAATGCGAAGAAGAAGAAGAAGACAACCCGTCAACACAAAATGAATGCCCGTGTGTACCCCTGCTCCGCAAAGCCCTGGTTTCATTAAGTCTTTACACAGCACAGTGATTCTCGCATGCAACACAACCATTACTCACCAGTAGCGATGAAACCACAAGAACTTGGCTCTGTAGAGAGAAGAACAGAATAATACACACATGAGACTAGGCTCTTGTAGTTTACCTGTTATACGTTCGACCGAATGGCAAAAACATATAATAAAATACATAAGCTAATTTAAATACACACACAGTCACACTCACACACAGACACATATAATGACAAACATTTTAGTTCTATAAATGATTTAGGACGACGCAACTGAGCCGACAAATCTGGAAATGGGAAGAGCTTAAAAGCCGTATTTTTTTGTTTTGCTTTTTGTTTTAGAAGGAGGTTTAAGTACCCAAGCCTAACGTTTCACTATGCAGACTTTCCGCCAAATTACCTGTGTCTCGACATTTCATTTGATGTAGATAAACGAAATGTCAGTTATCTCCCCTGATATGCAAACATGTAACGAAAATGGACAAGTTATTTTTAAATTCTTCCATTCGAGAAAAAAAAAAAAATGTATAAACAACTCAATATTTGTTTGACTTTCACACTCCACTCTAGATGATAGAAAGCTTTCAAGGATATTAGGGGATTGACAACAAACCCATTTTTGCAACTCAAATCAAGAAGTCGTGGAAAAGGTATGGGTGTGTAGATGTGAACGGATGCAACAAGTAGGTCACGTGGAGCCGATACAGCTAGCCAACAACCAGTATGAACTAGAAATGAAAGTAAAGGTCTTATTTCCACGCTTTTATCTAGAGACCATTCCACAATCCGCCACCAGTGGACGCGGTGGGTTGGGGATGGTCGCCCCAGCTTTATCCAACACCAGAGAAGTGAAATATAACAATCTTCCAACACCAGAGAAGTGAAAAAAAAAGTATTGAGAATATAGGGCTAGACCTATATTTGTATAGACCAATCGGCACTTGGTGGGTGATTTGGTCCGCCTTTACTTCCCAGGACTGCACCTGGTACCCAGTCAAGGCTGGGACAACCTGAGAGTCAAGGTCATTTTTGAAAAAAAAAAACTCTCTGGCTCAGACTGGACTCGAACCCACGAAAACAGGAAAGTAGCTGATCTTAACTAATTTTCATAATGCTGATTGGCTCTAGTTTTTAAGATACTCGCTACTAGTTTACTTAATTGGGGCCAAATTATACGATGGGTGGCGTCCGTGGCTTAGGCGTTGCGAGTCCGACTTGTAATCCAACGTACCGCGATCGAAACCCACTGCTGGCAGCGTGGATTTTTATCATGGTGTGGGGCGTCGCAGGTCGACCCAAACTCAAATAGGTACCAGGATGGCTGTCCTGGGGAAGTGAAGACGGCCGGCGTAATGCTGACCACATTACCCATCCAGTGCTGACTAGTCTGTGAAATATAGGACGCTCTTCCTATATACCCGATGCGCCCAGGGCGTGATAAGAGATCATCACCTTTTTTTTTAACTTTTAAATTATACGATGGAAGTCCAAAAAGGATGAAATTTGACCTCTTAAATGCTATGTTCACAATAAAATTCGGCCTGATAAAACTGTGACGCAACTGTTGTGGCCGGTTGTATAATTTTTTTTTATATTGACCAATAAAACTGTAATCAGAAGTTGATGAAGCAGTCAGATCTATGATTACATCACATTTATGTATAAATATCTGATCTCGGACACAATTTTGCGATTATTAGCTAGCGTCTTTGTCTTTATTGAAACTATCATAGTTAGAAATGCCCAGGGCGTGTGTGGACAGAGCTGATAACTTCTGTTGTGTGTGTGGTGAGGTGACATTTCTCTCACAAAAACAAAGCATAACTTAAGTGATTGAAGAGGTCTTCAGCAGTGTTGCCACTTTGGATGTTTTACATCCAGATTTAGATGTTTTTCCTTGCATTTAGATGGCGTTTTTGATGTTTAGATGGTAGATGTTTTTTGTCAAAGAAAAGTGGCAACACTGGTCTACAGTTTGTGCCGATGGCCAGTCAGGCAGTCGTTGCAGCCTGGTAGTAGAATGTTATATGTTGAACGTTATATGTTGAATGTTATATGTTGAATGTTATATGTTGAATGTTATATGTTGAATGTTATATGTTGAACGTTATATGTTGAATGTTATATGTTGAATGTTATATGTTGAATGTTATATGTTGAATGTTATATGTTGAATGTTATATGTTGAATGTTATATGTTGAATTATTCTCCCCAGTGTGGGTTCCGGCTCCATTGTGGGGAAAACAAGAATAGACCCACTGCCTTCCCAAAAGCATGTCGTAAGAGTCGACTAATTGGGGAGCTTCCTTGGAAGTCGGAGTACATCTGCCGGAGAGGCAAGGAACCAACAGTCTGTATTCAAGAGAATCCTTCCCCTGGGTGCCGACAGTAAGAACGTCGAAAACCCTGCACTTGTAAACCACCAGCAAGATTACGTGGCCACCCTTGCTCATTAAGCTGGGTCTCATAAACAACTTGGTCAAGGCCAGTTTTGCCACTTTGGATGTTTTACATCCAGATATAGATGTTTTTTTCTTGCATTTAAATGGCGTTTTTGTCGTTTAGATGGTAGATATTTTTCAATGGTTTTTCATTTGGAGTTAATTTATCAAATCTAACCTAAGAAAAAGGATTAAATTTGACCTCTTAAATTCTATGTTGACAATAAAATTCGGCCTGATAAAAGTAGGAAAAGGCTGTTCCACTTATCAGCTCCCTGATTGGGTATTAAAAGAAATTGGAACAGCTAAAGTATACCAGAGCCATTTTGGATCTGAAGCTTCAACTTCATCATCCAAGCTAAGTTTATCTTGTGGATCTTGCTAGGCAGACTTGAGTAAAGTCATGGACACGATTCTATAGGGTAAGTCATATCAAGTTGCTATGTAATTTGTGACTCTTTCCATTTGGATGTTTTTTCTAGATGTTTTCCACGAAAATTTAGATATTGTTATATATTTTTGACTACGTTTCGGATGTTTTTTGTCAAAGAAAAGTGGCAACACTGGTCAAGGCCATGTGTAAAATTTATCTGCGACAACATACACCAGAGATGAGTAAACTAAAGGTAATATAAGTCAGAGAAAACATAAATAGGAGATACGTAAATCTAGGATAAATAAATCAGAGATAAATAAATCAGAGGTAACATAAATCAGAGATAACATAAAAAAGAGATAACATAAATCAGAGACAACATAACTCATAGTCGCCAATAACAGTGGAGATTAAAATTTTGAATAATGTCTCTGGCAGGAAACAAAATATCACCCCTCATCGAGGTTTGAACCCGCATGAGAATCTAACGCCTAACCACCCGCCACAGTCCACACAAACGAAACAGCAACATTACCTGGGCCATTGGTACAGCAACCATGATGTAGACAATGACAACAGCTCCACAGAGAGACAACGCCGTCGTACTGTGACTTCGCATCTTGCTGTTTGTAGAATTAGGTTGTGTACAAATGTACAGCTTTATGTTAGACTTCTAGATTGTAATTCAGAGTGTGTGGATTATGGAGTGTAATCCGAGAGTGCATGGATCGTGGATTGGAAGTTTAAAAAAAAATTGCATGAGTCATGGACCAACAGCGTCTGGATCACGGATTGTAATCAGAGAGTGGATCGTGGATTGGAGTAAAAAAGATGTTGGGTTCATGGATTATAATCCAAGAGTGTCCGGATAACGGATTGTAATGCAAGAGCGTCTGGATCTTTGTGTAGAATCCAAGAGTGTTTGGATCGTGGATTGTAACTCGAGAGTGTCTGGGTCATGTATTGTTATCCAACCGTATATAGATCATGGTCTGTAATCCTAGAGTGTATGGATCGTGGATTGTAGTCCAATACTATATGGGTCGTGGATTGTAGTCCAATAGTATATTGGTCTTGGATTGTAATCCAGGAATGTATGTACTGTGGATTGTAATCCACGAGCGTTTGGATCATAGATTGTAATCCAAAAGTATATGGATAGTTGTTTGTAATCCAAAAATGTATGGGTCGTTTCAAATTCTATTTGATAGTATGGATCTGGATGTCAAAGTTATTGGAGTCGAAGGATCCGCCTCGATTCCACGATTAGTACTTTTTCCACCTACAGAGAAAAACAGAAACCATGTATTACATTGTTAGCAAGATGTGTGCCGTCACACCGCAATGGAGGTTGGCAGCCGTGGATACGTGAATCCACTGCTATGTTTGAGAACATTAGGGTGTGAGAATACGCTGCGATTCCCCTTTCACTATCCGATAAGACACATCATTTTTTTTTTATATAGGGCGACTATAGCATCCTGAGCTGAAAACGGGACATCTTACTAACATTTTCAGCTGAAAACGGGACATCTCACTAGCATTTTCAGCTGAAAACGGGACATCTCACTAACATTTTCAGCTGAAAACGGGACCTCTCACTAACATTTTCAGCTGAAAACGGGACATCTCACTAACATTTTCAGCTGAAAACGGGACATACCACCAAAATTTGCACGCCCCATCTTTGCTACTTGTCTGGACCAGCGAAAACCACACAGAATGTCCATCACTGTCCCTTGTGAAACAAACTTATACAGATTGCATGCTCCGCAAAGCGAACAAAATAAAGATGTATTACATGCGTAAGGCAGCCGTCAGATGTGCCAACACATACAGTCCAGCAATAGAAATGCAGTTCATTGTCGATGGAAGCAGCAATTACAACAGATGAGCAGTTGCACATGCAATTAATCGCAAAAAGCACCATCAGTTCTGTTGCAACAGGTCTCTCGCTATTTTCTTCATCTGCAGTTCACAACACTAACCACGGTGGAAACAGTCGAAAAGCACAGTGTCGCACCATGCACTCAAGTCAATAGCTGGGCGACGGAACTATATTATTTCGGTCCACATTTGGAGGGAATGTAACGGTTAAAAGTCTTCTAAAAAAAGAAAAAGAGTGCTATGACTAATTAATTTTAGGCTTGCTTTCAAATAAAAAGGTCTAGGTAATCGTTAGTAATCATTTTTTGATGGTCTTGTAAACTCTCTCTCTCCCGGTGCAACAAACCAAACAAACAAGGCAATAAAATACAGAATAAATTACACCTTTTCTTGCCAGGCTCACAGTTTCTGGAATATCGTGTTACCTTTCTTCTATGGAAGGTGAGAGCACACCAGGGGCGCTGACAGAAGAAGAAAAAACACGGCGCGGAGGTGGCCTCAGTCTTCATGTGTGTGTGTGTGTGTGTATATATATATATATATATATATATATATATATATATATATATATATATATAGTAAAGTCAAATTAGCGCAGTCGATAGGAGACTCGCTTTCAAATCCAGTTGCGACTCGCTGCAGCCCACGACCGGTGTTCGAAACCTGACGGTTCCAGGGTTCACCCAGCCTTAAGGAAATGGGTAGAACTCTGGGGTAAATGGAGGAAGGTCGCTGTAGCTACGGAGTTTTGAGCGGACGGCGACACGGGCGGACAGTTTCTTATCAGCTGTCCGTACTAGTGGCAGAACACTTATGGCTTATAACTGTGTGCATTGACGCTGGTTCACATCTCCCGACTTTACCTTTTGTAGTAAAGTAAAGTGAAGATCCCTTTTCACGCTTTAGGCGCTTCGGGCATATGGGAAAAGCATCCATATTTTTACAGACCATCGGCACTATGTGGGTAATGTGGTTAGCATTATGACAGCCGTCTTCACTTCCCCAGGACATAAATCCTGGTACCATTTTAGGCTGGGTCGACCTGCGACCTGCGACGCCCCATAGCATGATAAACATCCACACAGCCAGCAGTGGGTTTCGATTGCAGTACGTTGGAGTTACGAGTCGGACTCGCAACGCCTAAGCCACGGACGCGCATATATATATATATATTCTAAGGGAGGTATACAAAAGGCCTGAGCCTTGTTAGAGTGTTTAAAATAATAAAACTGACGTGTCTGCGTCTGTGGGTGGCTTAGGTGTTGCGAACGCACTTCGTAATTCACTAGTGCTTCGTTCGATCTCAGCTGCAGGGCGATTCGACAGCAGACCACCTTGCGTTGGTTCCAACAGTGATATTGAGAGCCACTCTCTAGGGAGTACTGGCAAACTACTGAAAGTAACATTGCCTAATGACATCATAAACGACCAACACACAACAACAACAACAACAACACAGAACAACAACAATTAGAGAAAGAAATGCATGGGTTGGTTAAAATAAAAAAAGGTAAAGTCGGGAGATGTGAACCAGCGTCATTACACACAGTTAAAAACCATTAGTGCTCTGCCACCAGGTCGGACTGATGTAAGAAACTGTCCGCTTGTGTCGCCGTCCGCACGAAACTCCGTAGCTACAGCGATGTTCCTCCATTCACCACAGAGTGTTAACTCTGGTACCCATTTCCCATTACCCCGGGAGCCGCCCGGTTTCGAACACCGGCAGAGGGCTGCAGCGAGTCGCAGCTGGGTTTGAAAGCGAGTCTCCTATCGACTGAGCTAATGCGGCCCTAGCAACCATGACTTGGTTCTGCAACGTGCTATATAGGGCAAGCAACTCTGTTGTCTTCGAACAACAGGGTGCTGAATGGCAAATAATTATAATAATTAATATATTTCAAAAATAGTATATGAATAAAAACAAGAACTGTTATACATAATTGGGAAAGGGTGTAGCTTAGTCCTCTTGCAGATGGAGTGCGGGCGGGGGGCCCCTAAGTTCAGATTGAAGAAATTAAGGTTATATCCACTCCCCCCCCCCTTCCCCCCCCCCCCAACGTATCTGTGTGCCAGATTTACTAGGAGGGTCGCCAGCCTGCCGGTTAACATCTGTTGTAATCACAAATTCTACGCCCCAGCGGTAGCGGTTGTTTGCTGGAAGCAACGGTGACTTACAGGTAACAGGGCAGTCCGTTACAGCAGTACCTACATTTATTTTACCTGCGCACACTTACAGTGGCGCTGGAAGATAAGGGTGAACACAACCTGAAATCCTCCCGATCCCCCACCAGTAAAGGGTCGAAAGTACCTCCAACCATATATAGAAGTTATCTTTTCAGGGTCTCATCTGCCCCTACTATTCTATTTTTAATGAAAATCTGCGAATCAGACATGTGCACATGTGGATTGGAACCTGGGACAACAGATCATGTCCTCCAAGACTGTCCCAAATACAACATATCAAGGCAAAACTTTTGGCCAAGAGAAACATCGGTGCAAGTCAAACTTTACGGCTCGCTGAGTGAATTACAAAAGACAGTGAAGTTCATACTAGAGAAAACACTGCAGATATAGATAATTTATTTCAAGCGAACGAAAGAAGAAGAAAATTTTCAATACATTAATGCAGTAAAATTTCGTTAAACGCGAATTTCAAAGGACTGAAAATAGAGTCTATTTTAAAGAAATTATCAGGGCATAATAATAATAATAATAATAATAATAATAATAATAATAATAATAATAATAATAATAATAATAATAATAATAATACATCACTTACTAAATAACTTTTAAAACTGTCTGCAATTTGTGACATAATGGATGAGTCTTAAAAACTTCGTAGATGGGCGGAGACAGAAAGACAATCGTTGCACAGTACAGTATGATTAGTCCATGAAATACCTCATTGACTAAGGTTATTATATAAACTAGCGTGAACTCTACTTTCAAACCTACAGATGCTACCGTAAGTTTTGGTCTGTAACACCATCAGAGAAGGAAAAGGCAAGAACTGAACCTGCCATCCAATCACGAGAGGAAAGAAAAGAAATTAGGAGGAAATATCTTCTTAGCCAAAATAATATACGCACGCTTCCACAGTGACAGTTGCTGCTTCAGGTAGAAGGCTTATGTGTAGCATTTAATTAATAAATAGTTTCTTCTTCTTCTTCTTCTTTTTTTCTTCTTCTTCTTTTTCTTCTTCTTCTTCTTCTTCTTCTTCTTCTTCTTCTTCTTCTTCTTCTTCTTCTTCTTCTTCTTCTTCTTCTTCTTCTTCTTCTTCTTCTTCTTCTTCTTCTTCTTCTTCTTTTCTTCTTCTTCTTCTTCTTCTTCTTCTTCTTCTTCTTCTTCTTCTTCTTCTTCTTCTTCTTCTTCTTCTTCTTCTTCTTCTTCTTCTTCTTCTTCCTCTTCTTCTTCTTAGCGTTCAAAGGCTGTAAATTGCAGCTTAAAGTTCTAGTTGTTCATCCACTTCTGGACTTTAGTCTTGATCCGGAACTTGATTTTTGCATGCACAAGAGTTTCACAGATTTGGCTTAGAATAAAAAGTCAAAAAAACATTATTTTGTAAAAAAAAATACCTGTGCACATTTGTTTCCCCTCTCCATATAAACCGAGCATTTTTTTGAAGCTAGTTCGAGACACAAAAATTGTTACCACTTTCTCTAAATATGTGTGTGTGTGTGTGTGTGTGTGTGTGTGTGTGTGTGTGTGTGTGTGTGTGTGTGTGTGTGT